AGGATTGGGGTGCCTCCACACGGAATCGAAGGGCGTTGGAAAACTTTCCTACTTGGAATGGAAGGACGTTGAGTACCTGAAGAAGAAGGAATACCTAAGTGTGTCACCTGTCTTAAGCCCCCTAAATTACCCGATTCGGACGGAGCTCAACAGGATGGTCTACAGTGGCTGAGAAATCAATGATCTTGTCGAACTCAGGTACCGAACACGACGCGTGGCGAATTGGTATGTGGTGGAAAGTGTGGCATCATGAACTTTAACAAGTGGAACTTATGAAGTCAAAATTGAAGAGTGAAAGACTGAAAGTCAAGGAAGAAAAGTGTCTTTTTTCAGCCCCCACCCTGAATTCATTATTATCCACCTGTGGATGAATATCTGCTCGTTAGTTCACTAGTAGTTGTGCAACGTGTTTGTTGAGAAGTAGATAGTTAGAGCCGGTGCTACAGACTCCGGCTAATTGGTAGTGGAGAGTGATATCAAGGCCCAAAGGTTGTCCACGGTTGTTTACAAGGGTAGACTAGTACGTTCCTAACGAAGCGGGAGGTATTGGTACTGCTCAGATGTGACAGAGGAGACGACCGCTGCAGTGGGTTTACCCCCCCCCCCCCTGACAAAAGGACTTGAGAAGGGGGCTGGTTGAAACACTAAGCTAGTGCTGTGACCTTAGCCTTAACGAAAGCCCACACGACGCAAGGGTCGTCCACATGAACGACGGCGGATTGAAGGTTTTTTTACGCGCTATATAGCCTGAAGTTCAACATTCGGGAAATTTTTCTTGCCAACGCGGCAAATTTCTCTCACAGCCACACACGACCCCTCCCCTCCGAACAGCGGCCAAATGCGACCCCCCCCCTCCCCAGGCAAAAAGTACGACCCCTTATGTGCTGCACATCATTATGTGCAGCACATAAGGGGTCGTACTTTTTGCCTGGGGAGGGGGGGGGTCGTACCTACACCACCACCTATCGTTCAGGGGGATGTCGAAGAGTCAGCGATAATAATGTAAGTTACTCAGTGAATTAATTTGTTATTTTTATAGTAGATTTTATTTGGTGGTCACCAAATTACGCGAGCCGCTTGAGTGGAGCAATTTTCCAACAGTTTTTATTTCGAGCGGTGGTCTCAGCCCTCCTCTCAGTTCCTCTTTCTCGAAGGCAGAGAGCATGATAAATCGACAAGGCGTATGGGATACAGTCGTCACCACTAAAGTAGATCAGGGCGTAACAGCGGGGCGTGAGTTTTGGCGCCAGCCTCATTCTACCTATCCCTAAGGCTTCGGAACGATGACTGGTGGAAAGGCTCTGGCACCGCGGTAGAGTCCCATTGGCTCCCCCGGCTGACTTCACTGATAACGACTGTAATTGTGGCTATTAGAGAAGAATACCGTGCCTCTGAGCAGGCGCTGCGTGACCACTCTCTCAATGAAGGTCATTCTCCGAGGATCTACGCAAGGCTCATTAAGCCGAAAGCCTTTCCGTCAAGACCAAGCCCGCAGGTGGTCGCACTGGGCTGCAATTGATTACGGTCACTATGTACCTGCTGTTCAATGCTGTTTTAACCC